ACAGGGCCCTCTCATGGAACATCCTGGTGATCTCAGTCACCGTCTCTGTCTTCAGCTTGAGTGACAGGAACTCCTGGGCTAACCGCTCTCTCTCAACCAATGTCACAAACTCATCTCTGAACATCTCAGTAAATTTCTCCCAAGTCATTGTGGAACGCTCTGCTGTAGAATAGTCAACCGTAACGAACTTCCACCAATCTTTCGCTCCCAAACGAAGTAGGTTCACGCAAAGCGAACCTTCAGATTCTCTGGACAGGAGCAAGTGTAGAAGCAACCATCCACATCAGAAATCCATCTCATCGCAGCAATCGGGTCCTTGGTCCCGTCAAACTTTGGTGGCTTCGTGTAGTTGAACTCCCGACACCACAACAAATCACCCCCTGCAGTCTCGCAACAGCAACAATTGCGGTAGCTGCGGCAACAGTAGCCTTAACGACGGCAACATAGCGGTCGTCAAAAGTCTCAATCAACATGGTCTTAATAGACTCGAACATCTCTGGTAAGGCCCCTCTGATCGTCGCAGCCACCTCGGTGGCAACGATCCTACGGATCTCATCATCACTAACATTCAGCCTCTTGGGGTCGTTGAAGCATGAACCTCGGGTAAACACCATACTGAAACACATAAGAAAACAATCAAAATCAGTCTATAGCGCATGCATAAACACTTAAACACTCCTGAAAGTTCCCTAGTGCCCTAAGATTCCTCCTTGAGTCGCGTATGGATACAATGCTTTTAGTAGTACGGGCGCAATACTACCTTCCACACCAATCCGTATTTGTCTCAAATCGTCCTCCCAAGACCCTAAGTCATGAGAACTCTATTCCTCAAGGGCATCTAAACACCCACACCTATATGTTCCTCGAAACCACCACTAAGCACCTAGGCACTTGACCTAGACTACTCCCCAACACCACTCTGCCTCGCAAAGATTTCGGCTATACTTGCCATTTGTTGTGTGTATGCCAATCGTGCACAGTACATGACTCGATAGATAGTCGAATAAATGATTCTACCTCAAGTCCACAACTAAACAAGGAACAAAAAGAAAAGCTAAATCAGGCATTCTAAGGCTATAACATCCTAACTTATGTACAATTATGCAGCATACGCTAAGCAAATAGCAATGATAGGTTCAATCTTACAAAAGCAACCTCCTAGGATAAATACATCACAAATCAGGCAACCCTATCACACACATCCTGAGGGATCCTTAGCCTATTATCTAGCATGCAGTTCTATCAGTTTATAAGATAACAACTCAACACTACACATAGAATAAGTAGAGATATTTGGGAAACTACCACTCGAGCTCTGGCTGATTGTACACACTGCTTCATCATAGTCAACCCCTTAGATTTGAGTAAAACCCTTCGCAACCAGTCGTGCCATGAAAGTGTGTACACTTCCATCCATGTTAGTCTTCTTCTTGAAAATCCATTTGCAACCAACTGTCTTTCGACTAGGTTGTTGATCAACCAAATTCCAAACTTGGTTGCCATACATGGACTTGATCTTGCTGTCAATTGCCTCTTTCCACTTGGCTGCCTTAGGGCCTGCCATTGCTTCCTTATAGTCAGTTGGCTCATCCAAATCTATCAGTGTTTGATCACTGATAAACGTATCACCTTCTGCAGTTATATGGAAACCATAAATCTGAGGTGGTACTCTAACTCTATTGGAACGATTAAGAGGAAATGAAGTGTCAACTGGTTCAACAGGAGTTTCATCCTTTGGTTGACCGCTAGTATCATCTAAGGTTTCTTCATTGGTTGATTCTTGGATTTATTCAAGGTTGATTGTACTCCCACTGTCCTCTTTTCATGTGAGCTCTCTTTCATGAAAGACTCATCTTTGTGCTACAAAGACCACGTTTTCACTAGGTCTGTAAAACAAATATCCAAAAGACTTTTGTGGATAGCCAATGAAAATACATCTCTCACTTCTGGCTTCCAGCTTGTCATGAGTCTCTCGTATAACGAAAGCTTCACAACCCCAGACTTTGATATGTGCTAACGAGGGAACTTTCCATGTCCACATCTCGTGAGGTGTTTTGGCAACCTTTTTAGTAGGGACAAGATTGAGGATATGGACGACTGTCTCTAAGGCATACCTCCATAAGGAAATGGGAAGAGTGGCTCGACTCATCATGGAACGAACGATGTCTAACAAGGTTCGATTGTGCCTCTCAGCCACACCATTAAGTTGTGGTGTCCTAGGAGGAGTCAAATGTGAAACTATTCCACATTCCTAAAGGTAATCGTGGAACTCGATACTAAGATACTCTCCTCCTCTATTAGATCGGAGCATCTTTATATTCCTACCTAATTGGTTTTCGACTTCATGCTTAAGCTCTTTGAACTTTTCAAAGGTTTATGATTTATGTTTGATCAAGTAGATATAACCATATCTGCAATAATCATCTGTAAACGTTACATAAAACCGAGTAGCATCTTTTGTGGTGGTTCTGAAGGGCCCACATATATCTGTGTGTATGAGATCCAACAAACCTTCACCTATTTCACAAGATCCAGTGAAAGGTGATTTTGTCATTTTGCCCAAAAGACAAGATTCGCATTCATCATTTGGCCTAAGGTAAAATGATTCTAACACTCCATCCTTTTGGAGTTCGGCGATGCGTTTCTTGTTAATGTGCCCAAGACGACAATGCCACAAGCATGCCTTGTCTAAACCATTAGACGAATCAATGTGAAATACACTATTACCTAAGCTATCAACACAAGTTACTATTTCATACACACCATTACAAGGTAAAGCTTCAAATATAAAACATCATTTTTATAAACCAGAATTGAACCATTCAAATCATTAAAATAGTAGCGAAAACATTTTCTAAACAATGCATGAAATTAAATAATGTTTCGTGCCATTTATGAAGAATATCAACAATCAATTACACTAGTCCTAACATCACTACTAAGCACAATCTGATAAGTCATAATCTTTGTAACAGGAGAAGATCGCCTATTCCCCGTTATCAGATTCATCCTCCCATGCTATACATCCTCACTTTCTTTTAGCCCCTGCAAATCAGAACAAATGTGAAAACAACATCCTGTATCAATGACCCAAGAATGACTAGATGGTGAGTTATTAGTTTGAATAGTGTATATACGTGCTGACAATGGCTTCACCTTGCAATCCTTGATGTCTTGCAAGTATTTGGGGCAACTCCTCTTCCAATGTCCCTTGTCATTGCAATAGTAACAAGTGGCATCTTTGGGGTCACTAACAGCCGAGATATCTGAGTTGGGCATTGCCTTTGGTCCATTGCTTGAAGACCAAGCTTGGGCCTTGTTCTTCCAGTTAGCTTTAAGAGGAGCCTTCCTTTTCTTCCCTTTGCCTTAACGGGAGCATTAGTAGAAGGGGTCGTATTCTTTCCTTTCAATCCCGACTCAGTAGTCTGTAGCAAGTTGTGGAGTTGGGTCAATGTGGTTTTCGTGCTGTTCAAATGATAAGCTAATATAAAGTAATCATAACAACTTGGAAAGGAGTTTAAGACCATGTAAATGGCTAACTCCTCGTCAAAATGCACATTGAGCTTAACAAGGCACTCTACATATCTTTGCATTCTCTGCATGTGGTTGTAGACAGACTCTCCCTATTTCATCTTGCAAGCCATGAGGGATTTGACCACTTCAAACTTTTATTGACGAACTCTCTTGTGGTACTTTTCCACAAGGTCATTGTTCATCTCAAATGGCCAGTAGTCCTCATAGAACCTCTGCAACTCGAGAGACATTATGGCAACCATGATGCAAGCAACATTTTTTTGCATCATCGTAGTGTTTTCTGTAAGAGGCTAGCTGTTCAGGAGTAGTAGTGGCTTCATCGATTTCAATGAGCTTTTCTTCAAGGACATATTCTTTGCCCTCAAATCGAAGAGCCATTATGATGTTTCACATCTAATCATTGTAGTTGGAGCCATCAAAGGTCACTCTGGACACAATGGAGAGAAGGGGAGAAACCCGAGTGGTAGGTAGACGACGATGGAGCAGAAGCATCAACATGAGCAGACATCTATAGAGAAAAAGAATAGTTTTAGTTATATGACAATAATCCTTAATATTTAACCCATAATAAAACAATAAGGCTAGGATCCAAAATAACAATTCACAACTAAGAAAAGGGATGACGTAATCTTATTGCGAATTCATGAAAATAGGTAAAAGCAATTTACCAATTTTGAACTATGCAATTCCTAAATCTTTTGAAGGAGGATAATGAATGTTGATTTAAAGATAATTAATGTTTTGGTTGAATTAAAAATGAAAATTTTACCTCATAATTTTTAAGACGTTACAAAAGCTTTTTTAGGATCTCATGTTTTGGGGCTATCAATCTACATGAGGCAAACTGACACCCATATAACCTTTTTTTTACGGGATAGAAACTCTTGGTTTGATACAAATTGTACAAATTTACTTTTAATCACTCCACATTTTATATTGCAAATTTATATGTAATATGAAATATGGTTATGTGACATTTGCTTATATATATATATTGTTCTCCACGACATTTAGGAAATTTGGAACAAATTATTTAACTTCAACCACAAAAAAACAACACCAATAAATAGGCACAAACCTAATTTGATGTTCGAAATTTTTTTGACATGTTTAAAATTTCAAACTTAATTTCTGTTAGAAAAAATAAATTTATTCTTCATAATAGAATTCAAAATTACAAACATTATCAAATTTATTTAAACATGTTACTATAAAGTTTGTTTTTATCATGAAAGGTAGAAGATTCTTTTATTTAAGAAATTGATTTATTCATATAAAATTTTTATATGTATTTTACTTATATATAATAATAAATCAATTTATTAAATGAAAGACTTATCGTTCGTTGTAAAATAGTGAAATCCAAACAAAAGAATATTATATCTTTTTTTAATCTAAAAAATTAAACTAAACACAGGAACTAATATAATTTCCTAAATTTGGAATATACATAAAAAATTGTGGAAGTTTATCTTGTCTTCTTGACCAACCAATAAATCTGAAGGGCGTCGAAATGGTTTCTTGAATGTCGAACTTAAGCCATCAAACGGTTTCCTCAATGCTCCTGCCCCAAATCCACCACAATGCTGTTGAACTTGAAACCCACCTTCAATCTCTCACCCTCCTTGCTGAAAACCCTCTTCATCACCAAAAAAACCTCATCTTTCTTACTCAATCGCTCTCGCTCCCTAAAACCCATAAACCCCATCACACAATTCGGTTTCCGGCCTCGCAAATCGTCTCAACACCTCTGCACCGCCGCTGCCGCAGCAAAATCGGCCGACGATGGAGCAATTCTGATTAGAAAACGGCGGTCTCACGTTACCAATCAACCGCAACAATTGCAAATGAGCGGCAAAGCGGAGAAAAGAGCCCGCCGTGAATCCCCATCTGGTATTCTTCTTTCCCACCTTTGCCGTTGCTCTAAAGAAAGCAACACCGAAGAAGCTCTTCGTCTATACGACGAAGCATTACTCAACAATGTTCCACTCAACGTCGAACATTACAACAAGCTGTTGTATTTATGTTCCTCAAGTAATACTAATCTAGGTTTAAAAAGGGGTTTCGATATATACAAGCGAATGGAAAGTGGTAATAACGATACTAAAGTGGTTCCAAACGAAGCAACGTTTACAACCATGGCTAGATTAGCCGCTGCTAGAGAAGACCCTGAATTGGCATTCGATTTGGTGAAAAAAATGAAAGAGGGATGTGGGATTTCGCCAAGGTTACGATCTTACGTGCCTGCTTTATCTGGATTCTGCAAAAAAGGAATGGCGGATAAAGCTTACGAGGTTGATTCTTACATGATTGACAACGGAGTTGCAGCTGAAGAAGATGAACTCGCCATGCTTTTACAGGTTAGTTTCGATACAAAAAGGGAAGATAAAGTCTATGAAATGTTACAGAGATTAAGGGCTACTGTAAGACAAGTAAGTGAAGATACAGCAACATTGGTAGAAGATTGGTTCAAGTCCGATTGTGCTAAGGGTGTCGGGAAGGTGAAATGGGATGTGGGGAAGGTGAAAGAGGCGGTGGTGAAGGGTGGTGGTGGGTGGCACGGCCAAGGGTGGCTGGGAAACGGGAAGTGGAAAGTGGTGAGAACAGAAATGGACGAAAAGGGTGTTTGTCAATGTTGTGGTGAAAAGCTTGTTAGTGTTGATATTGATCCTTCAGAAACCGAAAACTTTGCTAGTTCTTTGAGTACTTTAGCTTGCCAAAGAGAAACAAGAGCCGATTTTTTGCTGTTTCAGGTATGAATTATGATCAGAAATTTCAAATTTAAGGATTGAATGCAAGAAATTTCTTTATTATTATTATTATCAAATTAAAAATTAAAAATTAATCTAGGAATGGGTTCAAAAACATGGACCATTTGATGCGGTTGTAGATGGTGCAAATCTTGGTCATATAAAGAAGAATTACTTCGACTTCAATGAGGTAAACACAAGTTCATATAAATAAATGCCACAAAATGTATATATATTTGATTTTATTTATAATATTTTTATAAAATATTGCAGCTAAAATCTGCTGTAAACTCAGCAAGAAAACTAAGTCCTTCAAACAAACTACCACTTGTGATTCTACATAGTTGTAGAGTGAAAGGTAGAGACAATGGGAATTCAAGGAATAAAACAACATTACAACATTGGAAAGAATCTGGTGCACTTTATGTTACTCCACATGGATCAAATGATGATTGGTAAAAACTTATATCTTTAAATTTGTTGACTAAATTACATTTTTGGTCCTTAAGTGTAGTTGGTTCTTGCAATTTTGGTCCCACAACGTTTTCTCTTGCAATTTTGGTCCTTATTTGAGATTCTTGTAATGTTTTGGTCCTTGGTCCAAGTAAAATGACATTTTTTTTAATCTTTGAGTATAATTGGTTTTTGCAATTTTGGCCCTAAGAAGTATTTTTTTTTTGCAATTTTGGTTCTTATTTTAGATTCTTGTAATCTTTTTGGTCCCTGCTCCAGGTAAAATGACTATTTTTGGTACTGAGTATAATTGTTTTTTGCAATTTTGGTCCTTATTTGAGATTCTTGTAATGTTTGACTATTTTTGATCTTTGGGTATAATTGGTTTTTGCAATTTTAGCCCCAAAATCTTTTTTTTTGCATTTTTTGTCCTTATTTGAGATTCTCGTGATGTTTTTGGTCCTGCTCCAAGTAAAATGACTATTTTTGGACCCAGAGCATAATTGGTTTTTTGCAATTTTGGTTTTTATTTGAGATTCTTGGAATCTTTTTGGTCCCTATTCCAAATGAAATTTTGTTATTTTACTTGGAACCCGAAAAATGTAACCACTTATAAATTTAAAAGCAAATCATTGGAAATAAATTATTCTTGAAGTTATAAGTTGTATAATTTTTTTTAGGTATTGGTTATATGCTGCAATAAGTAGCAAGTGTTTGGTGGTGACAAATGATGAGATGCGAGATCATTTGTTTGCATTGTTGGGTACGAGTTTTTTTCCAAGATGGAAAGAAAAGCATCAGGTATTAATTATTATTATTATTATTTTTTATGGGAGAATAGTGATAAAATTTTGATGGAAATTATTATTTTTTAAGTGAACTGTAATGATATGACATTTATTGTTTTTCTTAATTTGTTGGATTTTAGGTTCGAGTGTCGGTTTCAAGAGAAGGACTTAAATTTCACATGCCTCCACCATACTCGATTGTAATTCAGGTGAGTTCTTGTTAAAATTACTCAAGTACCCTTTTAACCATATAGTTTCACAATGACATAATTCAATTACTTCAAATTCCAATTCTTTCACAAATTTACATAAAGATTGAAGAACTTTTGAGACAATCAAGTTGTTGACTTTAATGGTATTTGACTTTGACTTTGACTTTGACCCATAATTTCAGGAATCTGAACAAGGCAGCTGGCATGTGCCAACTGTGACAGGAGATGACTTTGAGACACGTAGGCAGTGGGTTTGTGCGACCCGTACAAACAGCTAATTAATTGTGCCATGTCAGCGTATCATTCCCTAAACCCATTGACAACACCATTCCATGTTGCAAAATCATTCTTTAATATAGAGGAAAGGGTAGTAAGGCTAAAATTACTTTTTTGCCCATTTGAAAGAAATATGATCGAGAGAATGTGTCCATGGAGAAGAGAGAGAGGAAGATGGTTTGATTTTTTTTATATTATGATTTGTAATTGTAACCTTTAATGCTGAAAATAAGCATTTGGGATTAATATTAAATGAGAAAATCGAGTTAAATAATGAAAATTAGACCCCTTCCACCCTTAACATTCAAGTCGGCAAACAAAAGCTCTAAAAACCATGTCCAGTTCCTTTGTTCTTTATGTTTACTACTAACCATGTTATTAGATAGACATGGTTGTTAGCATCTCTTCCTATATCAATCAAAAGCTCACCTTTTGATTTGAACCTTTAGAAAACATCCATTGAACCTTTAGAAAACATCCATCTAATCCTATCGCACAACTACAACCTTTATTACATCCATACTTTAATGCCTTGAAACTGGAACACGGCTTCTTAGGGTAGTTTAAAATAACATTTTTAAACATTTGTTAAATTCCAAAAGTTTTAGAGTTTGAATTTGCAGATTATAAATGAAACACCCCTCTTTTGGTTAATGATGTATAACTCATTTTAAATAGTTTTAAAAATAATAAAACGTCACTTTGCGGAATTCGGTCCCAAAGTCTTTAAGATCTTAAAACAATTTTTGTTTCAAAGAGGTTTTAGAGTAGGGTAGTCAAATTTTAGAATATCATTACATAAGATAAGATACTACTACATAACAATGTCCTTCAAAACACCTCGAATCCTCTAAGCCTCATTCATTAGTTGCACTTGAATACATGTCAAAATAGTAGGTTAGACATTGGGAATTCCTAATGAGTAATATCAGGATTCCATCACGTTTATAGTCAATGGATAACTCATTCATTGACCTATGATGAATCCCCAAACATTTTCGAAAAACTCTTTAACATCATATAACTATTTCAAACAGTATATTTGTTTTAATAAATACTTCACTTTTTACTATTGTTAAAAGCACTTTGAAATCTTATATCTTTTAATAAACATTGCCTCAAATCTTATTTCTTCTAATTAAATTCTTTTCATCTTTTCTCTTTAAAAACACTTTGAAATCTTAAAACTTACTATTTTCTTTTTGAGACACTTAAAATGTATTAAACTCTTTGGTTAAACTCTTTATATTTTCTCTTTGAAACACTTAAAATGTATAAACATTCATATATAACATAAATGGAAATAATTCAATGCAATACGAAACTACACCCATCCCCATTCCTCTCATTGTTCCACTTAGTTTTTTGTTTTTATAGCAATAGAGATTATGACATAGTTAGCACAAAACACCCTACATCATGACTCGTCTTATTTACATTTGGTGTCTTTATAGGTACGAGTAAGCTATCAAATTACCGGTCTCGTATATGAGGTAACTACCCTACACGTACATGTGAGACATGTCTAGAATAACACACTACTCTTTGGTCTCGTTTGCCACAGACTTTGGAGGGGAATACAAGTCTTTTCCCAATCTTACATGAATTCCTATATATATATATATATATATATATATATATATATATATATATATATATATAGGCTTAGGCTATTTTGTTTTTACTAACTATTGTGTGCCAGAATGCGGACCACTGGATGAAATAGAATCAAAGGTAATGATCTGAACGTTTATGATATTACAATAGGGTAACATGTACCATATAATCACACAAATTTCAGCATAAGGGCATTTTAGTCAATTAACCTATACTAAAAAAGGAAACTTTCGGATTTTTAGGGATAATTAATTCCTTTATTTTTAAAATTTTGAATATTTTAAATTAATTCAAATTAAAAAATCCGATTTTATTCTGTCAGAATGACAGAATGACAGAATGCCAACCATAAACTAGTAAATATATTTTCGATTTTATTCTTGCAGAATATATTTCCAATGCAGATATTTTTGATAATTAACCTGATTTAGAATTCTAGATATTATTCATATACATCCAAGTTGGGTCTATGATTTTATTCTTCATATACATCCGAAATAAAATACCAATTCATACATATTCTTACAGAATAATATCCTTATACATTTTAATATAGTTATACATATTATAACAGAATATCATAAAAAATGAATAAAAATCTTAAAAAAGAGCATTATTGAATATAAAATTATTGAACAAATACACTTGATCTTCTTCAGTGGTCCATATAATCTACTTGATCTTCGCATATATACTTGTTGTTGAACTCGATTCCAAATATTTCTCTTTTATGATCAATATTGAATTCCTTCTCCATGCAATTCTGAAAGAATAAGATACATTACTCGTTAGTATTACCAGTTAAACAAATATACTTGTTGTTAAAAAATATTCTCAAAAGACATTCTAACAGAATGCATTTGAATAAATAAATTCTAATAGAATACATTACAGAATGTACTTAAATCGTAGTCTTTTCTTCTATATGCATAAACATTCTAAAGCATGTATAAATGTATTCTGTCAGAATTATTAGCAACACATGTTTTATGTAATATTTATATTCTCATAGAATAAACATGTGTTTGCATTCTGATATGAAAAAAACTTCCCAGCTTAATCTTTTTCATGCAAATTCTGACAGAATGCCATCTTAACCCTTTTCATCAATTATAAAAACGATAAAGAACACACACAACCCCCCCCCCCTGAGTATTAGCATTTGTAATCAAAAGAAAAAAGAACATGTAAAGGCATGTTTCATTATCATCCAAAATAGTTCAACATATCAAAATTACCTCAGATTCTGACAGAATCTTCCCAAATAGTTCAACATATCAAAATTATCTCATTTACACCAAAACCTTCTCTTTTTGAAATTATATCAAACACTTGATCTTCTACTAGAATCCAGAATGCATTTGGTCTTCTTTTTGAATCCAAAATGCAATTGAGAGAATTCAAATTTGCAAAATCACTTGATTCCAACAATAGAAAAAGTCCAGATCACCTTATATTCTTTAAGAATCCTGAATAAATAAACCAATTTGTTTGTAATTAGAAGATTAGAACTAAATAGTTAATTTATATACATACAAATTACATTCTGACATAATACATACAAACATTCTGACAAAATACATACATACAAAAAACATTGTAAATAATTCAAGTGAATTGAGGTTTGATCAACATTATTTATTGATTAATTCAAGTGATTTGAGGTTTGATTTAATTCAGATTGAAAGGCTATAAAGATGAGGCTTAGTATTGAATATGTAATCCTCTAAGTGAATCTGGGCCATACTCATTAAGGATTATAACTACATAAGCTTATAGTCATTCTAACATTGAACATTTGAATTCATGTTGTAAAAACTAACCTAAAAGCAATTAAGTTATACTGTGAGTTTACATGAAAAATATGTAAGTGTGAAATAAAGTTATTACACTACTTTTGCTTTCTTTTCTCTTTTTAATTCACACATTTTTCCCTTTAAAACTCATTTGGTAAAATATAACATAAAAAAGCTATATACAACAAAATAGAATCTATCAACTTACCTGCCTGCATAAACTTTTTCCACACAAAAAGAAACTACAATTCAACAATTAACAAAAAAAGAAAACGAATACCCGACTAAATTAATGCACAAAAGAAACCAAATAATTACGAGTAAAGAAATAATACAAATTCAAAGAAATAAGAGAAGTTGAAATTTCTACAAAAAATATGTATCCATTTTGTACGCACCTTTAAAAATAAAACTATTATGGATCGGAGAAATTAGTAGAAATAGAGTGAAGCAAACCTGAGCGTAAATATGATCAGAAAATCAGCAAAAGTTTTTTGAAGCATAAACCGAGGCCGGCCGCTACAGTTAGTCGAGGATGCCATATTTAGTTCATCTGGAAGTACAAATAAGAAGGTGTTGTCCGGTGGTGTTTATGGCCGAAGTTTTGGAAAGAAACGACCGCTAGTCAGTAGCGATGGAAGCTTCTTGGCGTCGATAGCAGGGAAAGAACAAAGACGGTGTGTTGTGGACGTGTTTTGGGGTTTATAAAACTTATTTATTTTGTTTCCTTAATTGAAGGGATTTAATTAAATAATCACATTAATTGCAAGGTGCAAAAAACCGGAAATACCCTTTTTGATTTAATTAATTATTTAATTATTGCTAATTTCTGATTGGTGCATTTATACTTGCTAGAAACATTTGAACCTAATATATATATATATATATATATATATATAAATATATTCATGGTAAACTCTTTGAAATCACTTAAACTTTACTCTTTATCAAAACTCTTTTGTAAAAGTCATTTTTATGAAATGCATACATAGTGAAACATATAACAAGTAATTCATGAACAGTCTTAAAACACTTTCACATTTTGAAAACATCTTATTTTTGTTTTATGAGATATCTATTCGATAGTGCTCACCTTTGTGTAAACCAAGCTATTCTCCATTCTTTTATACATCTCACACTTTACTTCATACACCACATATTACCATCATTCGTCTTTGGTTACAAAATGACCAAAATACCCCTAGGAATCTTGTAAAATTATTTTAGTTTTTTTAATTGTCTATACCCACTTATATAAGAGTGTCGGAAGAATCAGAATGCTAAACGGATGTACCAAGGTCAACTTAGCATTTCACACCTTATCATGTAACTACACGGTCGTGTAATATTTACTCTAGAGATTATGCAGTCATGTAATGTTCAAATCCTTTCTTCTCAACATCATTACACGCGGGCGTAGTATTATTCATGCTCGCGTAATGTTTGTAACATGGTTAGAAAATCGAAATTTTCATATTTGCCATGCAATTGCAGCCAATGATTCCAATCACACACACACATACATACACACACACACACACACACACATATATATATATATATATATATATATATATATATATATATATATGTTGAGAGAATCAATCACTAAGATTCCAAAACTTATTTCATGAATCATAACTCTCATTACTGACCAATATCTTACTAACGTATCTGATCATTGGATTTCTCTTCATCATTCTTATGGGTCCTTATTGAAACTCTAGTTCTTAATTCCAACATAATGGTAGATTCAATGCATAGAACTCTTAAAGTTGGGTGATGGATCCATGTTGAGATTTGATTCTAGTTTAGAGAACAACAAAACCCAATCATCCAAACACTTCCCAATAGCACTC